CATTCCTCACCCCCAAGTCCATCACCCACGATGGACTTAAGGGAAAAGCCTTCTCACAGAGCGGAGAATCAAAAATGGAAAAAGCCCATATTTTATGACACATAAGATGCGCCCCAATTTTCAGTATAGAATATTTAGAATGAAAGTATTTATTGAATTTAAGCCATCCCATGCTTTTTAAAAAAAAGCTTTTAGGCATTCGGCCCAAAAGCTTTTTTACTATATTTCGCTTAAAACAAAAAAACAAAAAAAAAATTTTAGAACCACGGTTTTATTTATCTGGGAAAAAGAGAAGCTTAAAAGAAGTCATTTACCATTAATATTAATATTAATATGCATTAAATATTAAACATGCAAAGTCTTCTTAGATATAGTAAAAAGAAAATAATAATAAATATAACTCCTGTTTAAACAATAACATTTTATTCAAGAGTTGGGCTAAGTAGAGGTTAGCCTTCTGAAGGCCGTTTTGGAATTATCCTATGGGAGATCTCAACTTCACATACCATATAACTTTCAAGACGATTTTCTGAGCCTTTTTTTAGACAAAAGTTGCGTCTTATCTCAGAAATATATGAATCACTACACTGCATTATCTATTTGTAAAGATCATTAGTTATTAATTTCTTACTATGATTTTGTTCTAAAACAAGCATCGATTTTAAAGTTTCTTATTTTCTTTTTTTGTCAGTTTACTGTTGACGTCATTCGTTATTGAAATATCCACTGGCCAATATGTCACTGATAATTGGATGTGTTATTTCATTTTTAACTCTTTCCTCTCTGTGGACCCTGAGAAGAGCTTTTTAGCAAGCCTATTGTTTGTTTAGTAATGGCAACGCAACACTTGGGCGATCTGTCTAGGGCAGTGATGGGCAAACTTTTTAAAGAGCGGGCCAAAGGAAAAGAAGAAAACTTTAGGTGGGCCAATATAATTGTAACCTAGCGCTGCATCTGAAAATCCAGGTGGCGCTATAAAAACATGTGCAGGCCGTCCGCCATATTTNGTTTTCAAGTTTTCTATGAAAAATTCTATTATTGCTTCCTCAAACGCAACATTTTTCGTTTCTGCTTCGATAAATGATATTGCAAGTGAACGTAAGTCATTCTATACTATTGTGCTTCTCATTTCAGTCTAAACCCGCTTCTTTTACTGGCGTTACTTGCAGGAAGTGCAAGGTAAATGGGTAGTAAGATGAACAAGTTCGAGAACGTGAATTCACAGTCTTTGATGAGCTTATATAATTCGACTAGGTTAGAGCTTATATAATTTTTTCCTCAAAGCAAACAAATTGCAAAGACATTCTTCCAAGACATTTTTGTAAAGCATTTGATTAAATTCTGATCTCGCGTGGATAATTTTGAGGAATGCAAAAGCACGGAAATATTCATTATAGTTTGCCTGCTGGGCTAGCCGACGGGCCGAGGTATTATTAATTTAAATGCAATTAAATTGTACAGTATATCAGACATTTTATTTAGCATTTATTAAAAGATTTGATAATAATTTTGCTTTTTTTTGTAAAAGAATATTGATCGTATGTCTTTTACATTTTCGGAAAACAGAAGATCGCGGTCCTCCGTTTTACGGACCTTAGGCACGTGCCTAGTTCACCTAATAGTTAAAATGGCACTGCTATACACTTCTAAACCCTTTGATTAGTTTAGTTTATTCGTATAGGACAATGCGGCATGGGCAATCTACCGAGAAGGGATGCCTCCCGGGAGGTCTTATATGTGAAACAGACCCCTATTTAGGTGTTACTAACGTGAAATAAACCCGGAATATTCAAACCCGTTGGCGAGGTGCAACCCCACGACCAGTGTTCAGTGATTTTATCCACTCGGCCATTGGTGGGCAATAATATATAGTATGCATACCTATCTTTTATAACTGTTTTATACGACTTAATGAAATGCTGTAATTTTTGTTGACAGTTTCTGTATATATATATATATATACATTATTTTTTCTATTTTTTAAACTCTTTCCGGTTTTAAATAGGGGCATTAAGCAGGTCCTTTTAGTTATGCCAATCGTGGATGACATGTTGTGAGTTTAAGGTGTAAGCCTAATCAAGTATAATTCACAATCACAATATACAGTAAAACTTATGTAAATCGGAATCTCACGGTACCGAAGAATTTGTTTCATTTAGGCAAGTTTTTGGTTTATTCAGGTTATGTTTTAGACAGGTTTTACTGTATCGTGATAATGATACAGTAAAATCTTGTAAAAATTTATCTTACAAGAATTTAAGAAAATGTTTTCAAATCGCATTTAATTTTGATGAGGAGGTTTTAAAAATAATGAAAATGCATTAATTCTGAATATACTGTAATTACCGAAACGAGTGGTTTTAATTTTTTAATACGTAAACTTTCATTAGCACTGCCATTATAATCATATTTATGTAACAGTAAAAATAAAACTGACTTTGGTCACATGTTTAAGAATTTAATAAAATTAACATTTATATATATATATATATTTCGTCAAATAAATAAATAAATAA